GAGGAGGCATATCTGGGGTTCATGCCAATGTGACGAGGGCAGATTAAAGTTGGATATTGTAGTGGGCTGGCATGCCCAGATAGAAGGTGCAGCATGTGCTCTGTTGACAGTAGGGCGCTGTGAAGTTTCTGAACATGGAGGAGACATGATCCGCCATTCGTATGTTTGAAAGAATAGCCAACAGATTGAATTTGCAACTAGGAAGACTGGTTAGATGCCATTTAGTGATGTCCTAAATGTGTAAGAGCGTAAGGTGAAGATGGGGAGGAAGGATGAAAGAACCTGGTAATGCAAGTGTGGGGAGGAGAGAAAGGCGTCCAGGTGGCTGGTCGGCTCTGGGACCTGGTTAGGATTGATGTGGGGGAAGGGGGAAGGTGGGTTGGGTTCAGTGCATTCAGTTTGACTTCCAGAAGGAATCGTCCAGCAGTTGTTAAAAAGCTAAAACGATTTTCCTGGGCTGGGGATATAAAATTGACCAGGACTGTGGGTGGTGTGCGTGTCAGTCAGGGCCTGTGGGAAATGGGAGAGAATGGACTGAAGAGGCTATTGAGAGCGCGGGTTAGGGGGACCTGCAAGGGATGTTGAGACGCTCAGTGAGCAGCAGCAAACAGCTGCCTCCACCCCTGGGGGGAAACAAAAGCGGAGGATGTGGTGTCCCTGGTGCCTGCTGAGAGCAGAAGGCTGGGGAGTGGCCTCCTGGCGGGTGTTGTAGTTATGGAGGGCAGCAGCCACTGCCCAAGCAACGGGAGTCAGGAGGAAGCAGGCAGTACGTACCCAGCCTCGCTTTCCTCTCAGCCTCTCATCTCCCATCAGCCAAACCCAGGTGGAAGTCAGCTGGAGGGAAGTCTGCAAGGCGGAGTGCATAGGGGGACCTCCTGGTGGCAGAGAAAGGCAGGGAGTGGATCCTGGGAGCGGGGGACAGAGTGAGGAATGGGGACGAATCAACATGGTGAAGTAGGTGTGCCATCTGCTTAGATTTTCTCCAGTGGCCTCCGCCCTTCAGGGCTTCTCAAACATTCCGTCTCTGCGTCCACAGTGCCTTGTACTGAGCTGACACAGAGTAGGTCCCTTCTAAGGTTTTGGGGGAGGATGGCAGGTATCTCACTTTCTGGGACTGCCTCACCCAGCCCTGAGGCCCCCAGGGCACCCGACCCCTCTCAGCGCTGAGTCAAGGTCGAATGACCTCAGGATGGCATCTCCGCCAGCCCTCTGCTGTTCTGCCACCAGTCGGGGAGCACAGACGGGAGTAGGACAGGGGCAGGCAGGTAATGTCCACGAGTGAAGGGACCAGGAGGGGACTGAGGTGGGATGAGATGTGCCATGTCATGCCCGGAGCGGGCTGCCAGGACTCAGCTCCAACTGACCGGGGTCCACCGTCTTGGCCATAAAGACGCCATTCGATGGAGTGTCTCAGAAGAAGGTATGGGTCTGGATTTGGATGTGCCGTCTCTGTTGGCGACTAACTTATTAAAGTACACCCGACAAGGTGAAGGCAACATGACTGTAAGTCAGAGACGGACCTTGGGATGTCTGATCCTGCTTCCTGCTCTTCCAGCCTCTTTGACTCCTCCGTCTAACACCTTCTGCCCCTCATTGCAGGAAGCCTGCCCTGAGTGTGACCCAGCCCTGGGAGGCCTGGGTGCTGGCGCTCAGCCCAGGGGGGGTCCCTAGGGTTCAGGGCCTCGGCTCAGGGATGAGGGAGTCATGGTGTCCTCACCACCCCCATGGTGACCCCCTGCAGGTCTGCCTGTTCGGGAACTCCGAGGTCTCTCTCCGAGATCACCTGCGGTCCGGGGCCTCCGAGGAGGAGCTGCTGAGCATCATCGGGGCCGCTGTGGGCAGGAAGAAGCGGCAGCATGCAGGTAAGGGGCGGGAGTGGGCAAGGCCGGGGCGGATGGAGAGTGGGCCCCTGTCGGCAGGAAGGCGGCCATAGTTGTGAGGTGAGAGGACCGGAACGCCAGGCAGGGAGCTGGTGGGACTGTTATCCCCACTCTCGGTCACTCCTGTGGGGCCCCCAGATTTGGGGTATGGTGATGGTTCTCCTTCCTCGGGGAAGTTGGCACCGTAGAGACTGCACAGGAGAGGGGACCCCGAATTACCCTGGGCTGTTGTATTGGGTGGGGATGAGAGGGGTGTCATTGCCTCTCTCATCCCACACATTGCCTTCTGTCAGGGGGGTAGATCCTGGGTGTCCACAGGCTGTTCTGGGCTCGGTCATGGGTGACCTTGCTGTATACAGTGGGGGCTTTGTCAGGTGCCATAGGTGAGTACATGTACACGGGGTTGTCACAGATGCTATGTCCGTGTTTGTGCCACTGAACTCTCCTTTCCCCGCCCCCTTTCTCTCCCATTCTCTACTCTCCTCTCTCTGCCCCCGACCTCAGGCATGTTCAATATTTCCCAGATGAAGAACCGGCCCATGATCCTCATCGGTGGGTGACCCAGCAGTACGTACCCATTCACCCTTGTCATTGGGGGTTCCTATGAGGGTGAGGTCCCTGCCATAAGGCACCCCTAGATCCTGCATTTCATCCTGATAGTCTCCTCATTTTCCTCCTATTCTCCTCCATCTTTCCGTAGCCCTTCAAGCCTTGACTGCCTCTGCTCTCTCTCCCCTGCGCACAGCTCCCCCTCACTAAACATTCCACAGAAACGACCATTCTATCTCACCAAAAACCAGGGCAGGGGTCCTCCAGATGTCACGATCACTGACTTAGCTGCATATGGAACGCCTGGTTAAGACTGAGACCTTGTCCTCAGCGCTAGACTCTCCCAGCGTGGATACAGTCATGGGTGTCCCTTTTCCTCTGGACCGTGGGGCCAGTCCATGGATGAATGTGGGCCATTAGCACCCATTGGTCGATGTGTTGTTACCTTCTGTACCAGGCAGAGCTTGAGACGGCAAGCTAAGGATATTATTCAACTTGTCAGGGATGACCCAGCCAGGATCTCAACTTCCTAGGTCCTTAACTCCCGGGCACTTATGTGCTTAGGACATCTTTCAGTGTATAGGATGCTGCAAACAAAAACACCTTTTTTACAGAGCCATGTGTGGTCTCCGGCCCCGAGGGAACCGGCTGGGCCGTGATAAGCGTCAGAGGTGCTGTTAGCCCTTTGGCACCGTGCCCAGACTAGAGCAGGGGAGGCCTCACCCCCTCGGCCACAGCAGGTCTGGGCCCTGAACTGTGCCACATGGCAAGAGGAAGCAGTGAAAAAAACTAGGGGAAGGCATCCTTTTCTGCAGAGGCTGGAGCTGTGAGCCTGGAGGAGAGTGGGCTGGAGAGCACCCAGGGACTGCCACCAGCCACCCAGAGAAGGAAAGACAGCTCACCAAAGCACTCTGTTGGGAGGAAAACATCATCTCTCTTCCCCCGACTGCCAGCGTCACAGTCCTCTTTTTGGGCATTGAGCCATGCTGATACACTTGCATGACAAGGACTGGGGATGCCTTGAGGGTCCCTCTAGAAGGAAGGCTGTGCCTCTGATATTGACAAAGGAGGGGGTTCAGAGCATGATGAAACCGGAAGTTGGGAAACCTGTTTGCTTCATGAGGTTTTTGATTACTCTCCAGGATATAAAGTAATTAAACTAGTCTGGTTTCTAAAAGCCAAGAGTTGCCCAGAACAGAGCCTCTCAGGCTTTCGTATGTATCTGCATCTCTGGGGATCCCGCTATCTCACTTGTGGATTTGGGAGGGCTGGGATTCGGCATCTCTAACAGTTCTCAGATGCTGGTGCTACTGGTCCGTGGACCACCCTTGAGTAAGAAGAGCCTACGAGGTTCCCAAGGCCCCCAGGACCATTTGAATCAGCCAGTCGCTTTGTGTGCATGTCTGATGTGCTTGAGGAGGCTGGACGTACGTTGTTTACATAGATTAGATATTTCTATTAGTAGTTACTCTGTAAAAGACATGATGACTATTAATTCTTCCTAGAGAATGCAAAGATGAGAGTAGCTGTAATTGGTGATTCATGCTGAGACCCTTGCTGTAGTTTTAAGAAAATGAAGAGACGTGGAGGTATTCTGATCCAGGCCTCAGTCTTCAGACCTTGGGTGTTTTTTTTAAGGGACTTTGACAACAGTTTTTGTGAGGAGGGGAGCCCAGGAGTACCCCTCACAGGACAGTCGGAAAATGGCGGGGCCATTGTCCAGTGTGACCCCTGAGAGAAGGGCTGCATACTTGTATTCTGGGGACTCTGTAGCTGTGTATCTTCTATTTTATCTCTTCTCACTATGGTTTTTGTTCTTCACTCTTTCCTGAGCGTGGAAGAGAGAACTCGAGGTGGGGTAGGGAAAAGGTTAGGAGAAAAGGTGGGGAAAAGCATTATCTTTTGGACTCACTCCTTCCTCTTTCTCTCTTGCCTTCCAGGGTTATTTTTGATGTTCCAAGATTCCCCACCAGCCATTCCAAGCATTTCTTCCTTGGACTCCCTCGGTGTTCAGGGTCTGAGACACAGAGTGAGTTACTCCAGCCAGGTGGCCACTTTATGGACAGGAGGCCGGGTCCCCCAGACCCCGTCCCTCGCCCAGCGGTGGCTGGGGTCTGGCTCCCCTCGGAGACACTACAGTTCCCACTCAGACTCAGATACCGACCCAAAGTGCCTTAGCCCCGTGTCCCGGGCTCCGGCCTCCCGCTCAGGACCCCTGCCAACCTCGGACCAATTAACCCACGTGGACACAGAAGGCCGGGCAGCCATGGTAGATGTGGGTGGTAAGCCCAACACAGAGCGGATGGCCGTGGCCTCCGCCGTGGTCCTCCTGGGGCCCGTGGCCTTCAAACACATCCAAGAGAACCAGCTAAAGAAGGGAGATGCCCTGGTGGTGGCCCAGCTGGCTGGAATCCAAGCAGCCAAGGTGACGAGCCAGCTGATTCCTCTGTGTCACCCTGTGGCCCTGAGCCATGTCCAGGTGCGGCTGGAGCTGGACAGCACACGCCATGCCGTGGTGATCCAGGCATCGTGCCGGGCTCAGGGCCCCACTGGGGTGGAGATGGAGGCCCTGACCTCAGCTGCTGTGGCTGCCCTCACCCTGTATGACATGTGCAAGGCTGTCAGCAGGGACATCGTGTTGGGAGAAATCAAGCTGATCAGCAAGACTGGAGGTCAGAGGGGGGATTTCCATCGGACTTAGAGCGCCTGCCCCCTCTCATCCGTGACCCAGCCAGGTCATGGGATGGGATGCAACTGGGGCCGAGGGAAGATGTCAAGTTCCTTGAACCCCATCACTGTTTACCGTGACCAGTGGGAACCCGAGGTCAGCCCGCTCCCTTACTACCGATGCCCTTCGATGCCCTTTGAGGCTTCCTTTATTCAGAGAGGAAACCCGCAGGCCTTTCAGCCTTCCTAGACACGAAGGTCATGGGAGGGGGTCGCCATGAGCAATGCTAGATAACTGAAAAATTACATTGTGTTATCCGTGGACTATTTCAGACAACCAGTTTCAGACAATCCGGCCCCTAACTTCCACTTCTCATTTTGGGTTTTCTCTTCTGCTACTTCCCTGGGGAGAGAATAAGGGCTCACGAAGCAGAGAACCCACTTTGAGGGGGAAAGCACAGCTTGCACGAAGAATGTACGACTTCTCTTCAGCAGCTTTGCCTGCCCAAGTCTGTGGAACCATAGCCCCGCTCTGCCCCTGCCTCTTCGCCATCCATCCTCGGAAAGAGCCCGTTTCCCTTCAAATGTACAGGCTCTCTGTTTAACCGTTGCACCGTCCTCCTGCCTGCACCCTTTCTTTAGGCTCCTCCTCTCACAGGACACGCACGTAGGCTGCAGAACACACTGACCGACCACTCATGGCCACACCTGGCCCTGCGCACGGCTGTTCCCCACACCCCTCTATTCTGGAACATATCAGGGAAAGAAGAGAGCTGAAGATTGCCTTCACCCTCACAGCACACAAAATAAAGCTGCAATGCCAACTTTGGAGATGCAAGAACGAGGACTGTTATCTGTGCACAGGGCACCAAGCGGCTAGATCCCATGCCCACCCCTCACCCCATCCCAAAGCCCACGCCCCTGCAGAAGAGGAGCGGGAGACGCTGCACAGGCTGAAGGGGCATGTCTTCCATATACTCCCGCCTTCCCTGCGGGAGAGCGGGGGGAGTGGGGTGGGAGGCACAGATGTGCACTATGGACAGACAGTAAGACTGTCAGGTGGGAGTATCTGAAGCTCATCACTGGTATTAGAGATCGGGGTGCAATGACAGGTTCCTGGGTTCCATATCCCCACCCCTGGACTTGTTTGGGTTTTCTGCGTGGATAGGCTGAGTGACATCCTCTGCCAGCCTCCCTAATGCCCTACACCAAGTTGTGCTGGTGAACGTTTTAACAACCAGCTCTTGGGAAAAAAAGAAAAAAAAGCCAAATTCCAAGGCCAATTTCAAGCTAAGGTACTATGGGAACTGGCTTGCAGAATTCCTAAAAGCAGTCACAGTTGTGCTCTCAGTGCTGATACAAGGTGGCTCCAACACAGCCCCTGGCTGTGCCTGCTCCCCAGCACACCTGAAGCCCCCTCACAGGAAGAAGGCACAAGTTTCAAGGCAGGCTGGAGGGGGATGGTATGGATTTAATGTTTTTTAGTATTACAATATATTATAAAAAAAGGTGCAGGTGAAAAGGATGCTGCCAATTTCAGACATTAGCCTCATTGGTTGTCTGAGACAGCCTTGGCATGAAGGCGTCCCTGGTGGAGGTGGGGGAGATAGTCACGGCCCCCCAGTTGGTGGAAATAGGATGGGGGTGGGGGAGAGCCTGGACCAGACCCTTCCCCACCCACCTGGAGAGTTTTCTCCTCCCACTGCCCTAAACACACCTTACTTCCACGACGGGAGAAGGAGTGGGTGCTGCTGCTGAGAAGGGGACAGCTTGTATTAGGTTAACTGAATTTTACAGTGGACACAAAATTAGACAGCTGGAGAGATTTACCCGAAGATGGCAGGAAGGGGGGAGGGAAGGGCACTGGGAAAAGACCAGAGAACAAATAGGCGTAAACATGTAGCACATCAAGGACCAACCCAGCCGTCTTCATAGGGCCATTAGCCCCTTCTTGCTGAGTCAGCCATGATGGTCCATGGTCCAAGGCACTTGTTGGAGATCTGCCTACAGTGGTGTCTGGTGCCAGAGTCACTGGCCAGATCTTGAAAATAATAAATAGAGAAGGAAAAATCTTTTGGGGTGAGAAGACTAAGCCCTGGAACAATGTATGTGTCCTCTGTAAACAGTTAAACCAAATGATGCTTTTCTGCGGATCCAATGTGTCTCGAACAGCTTCCATATTCCTTGTCTTTGCTGGTGCATATCCAGTCTTCCATGGAGGGTGGGAACGCCAGGACTTGGACAAGCCCGTTGGATAGAAGTGGAGCCCTGCCCTGTTCCCTGCCCCTGTGGGTTAGGTTGACCTCGGCCCAGTCAGTTTGGGAGAGGACATTCAGAGACCTCACTCACAACCTTCCATAATCCCAACACCAGCTTCTTGCCGTAAGGGCTCTTGGGTGTACAGATGGTAGAACAGAGCTCTCTGCAGCTGTTCTTCCTGGAAGTCTTCACCTCGCCCTCACCTGGGCTCCAGGATGGCCTCTTCACGCCTGTCCTGGCCAGGCTTGCATTTGCTCAGACCCCCCCCCCCTCAAACCAACACACATGCTGGGCTCACCAACCTTGGGTTTCTTCTCCACACCCCCTTGTAGCTACGATGGCCCCACCCCCAGGAATCAGTAGGGAGAAGATAATGTAGGGAAAAAGATGGATAGGCAGCTGAAGAGTGGGCCCAGCCCACCAGTCTGTCCACTGGCAATAACCCTGAGCTGGAGGAGTAGGTTGGAAGGTTGAGAAACAAAAGGAGGGGCAATAAGCCGTTTGATGTGGCGGGGTGGGGATGTCAGGCAGGCAGACACAGAGAGTGAAAGGTCAACTCCAGGGGGAGAAAATATTGAGAGTAAGAGCCTTGATGGAGTTGACCTCACCTCCTTTCTTTTAGAAGACAGAAAGTTTTGTTTAGACACAGCCATTAACCCACCTGCTCAAGGTGGGCAGAATGTTAAATGAGAACGGACAGCATAACATGGACAGAATGGAAGGTGGGAGTGGACAGGAGGACCTGAATGGGCCCCTTGGAAGTCAGGTTGAAGAACCACATCGGGTACCAGAGATGGATTGGGGCTCCCCTCTCAGCCTGTCCCCCTTGGCTCCTTCAGGCAGTGCACACCCCAGGGAAATCGGCCTTCCTCCTCCATCCCTCATCTTCCTCTCCCTCACTTCCCCTGCCTGCTCCGGGCTCCGTCTGCATGCCTCAGAGAAGACACCTAGAAACGGCATGTCAATGCAGAGAGCAGCCCCGGCCCCTGGGACCCTCTCAGGAACCGATGCTCCAGGGCCAGCCTCAGCCAGGTAGACTCACATGGTTTGAGGTGGAATCTCGCACACTGGACAGAGTGGGAGGTCACTGCGGCTTCTGCCCTGAGGCAGATGTTAGAGTTTGGTGTCTGAGTGGTAGACCAGGGGTGGGACTAGGCATTCAAGTGCTGCCCTCGGGTGAGGGGCTGTCAGGAACTCCTCGCCAACATGTGAGGTTACTGTCTTGTTTCAAGACAATGCTCGGGTTGTCCAGGGGAGGTGGGGCGTGGTGGGATTTTGTTCTAGGGTCCCTATGCCCAAGGCACGAGGTGTGGTAAGGGGGGGGGGGTCTTTGTTGAACCCCTTCCGTTACAGGATTCATCCAGTACCTGATGGTGAGCCAGTCATGGGAACCCAAAGGTGGGCTTTCTGGGATTCTGGATTAGTAGATAGGCTGGAGGTAACAGGAAGGAAGGAAGGGAGAGAGACTTAAGACATGCAAGAGAGGGGTTAAAGGACTTACGATGTAGGAAACAGGCACTGCTACTCTGTCCTGATGACTTGGTCCCTGCATCATCCTCCCAGCATATTTTTCCTGGAACAGATCTAGCTAGAATATCTAATGCCTCTTTTCCATTCAAGAGGAAAGTCTGCCCCCAGATCAGTGTTCCATTAAGCCACCTCTTGAGAGATGAGAGCCTGGACTCCCTCACCCTGGCTCTCAGAGGTCCACCCCACGGTGACTCCCCACCGCACGTGAAATCTAGACCACATCCATGGACCTGTTCAGTCTAGATCTTAAACAGTTCTGTGCCAACATGCGGGTGCCCATGCTGGCAGTGGGGAGCAGGGCCCCTTCAGCCAGGCCTGCCAGGGACATCCAAGTCAGCCTCAGAGAGTGATCCCTGGGGACCGGGAAGCAGAAAGAACGGGAAGCGGGGAGAAGAGGAGCCCCATCAGGCAAGTGTGGGGATACACCTGGTCCTGCCACACACAGCCCCCACCCCGGGACCCAGCCCAGGGCTCTAAACCGAGCACCAAATTGTTTAAGTATCACCGCCTTCTCCACTCAGCCCCTCTCGGCCCATCCCTGTCTCCTGGCCGCCTGCTGTGGCCAATCCCCAGGTCAATAATTTAGCCTGTTTATTGCCCGCTCCCGGGTGACTTCCAGGGCCTGGCTCCCTGACCGCTTGCGGCTGCGCTTGAGCTTGCATAAGTCCTTGTCGAAAACCTCCCCCGAGCGCAGGGCTGACACCAGGTCGTCGAATTCGCCTCCCTCCTCCAGCGCGCTGCCCGCGTGGACCTTCCGCTGCCTCTGCCACCGCTCTCGCTCCCTCTGCTCCTTCAGCTGGAGGGGTGAGGAAGGAGAGTGAGAGGCTGGCACCCCGAGACATGGGCAGAGGCCAGGGCAGCCACCCATCGTCTCCTTTAGACACGGATGTCCTCCCAGCCAGGGGCTGACTCGGAGGCTGTGTGCACTGACGCTGGTGTTCACGCTTTCCCAGGGTGCCCTGCGCCTGCCCAGCTCACATGCCTTCTCCCCTCATGCTGGGAAGACCATTCTCGGTCCTTAGGGGTTGACATTAGCCCCTGCAGTGTTTCTCAGGCCCTGCTCTCCTGCACACAGTCCAACCATTGCCTCCCCTGATGGCACCCCACTCGGACCAGCCCCTCTCCCCTCGGGCCCTACCCGGCCCTTTCTCACCATGGCTTCCATTCGGGCCCTTCGCTCCTCCTCCTCCTTCTTCCTCCTCATCGCCTCCAGGTCCTGCCGGGCCTCCGAGAAGGCCTGCAGGAAGGTGTCAAAGATGCCAAAGAATTCGTCTGGCTGCATCTTGCTGTCCTGCTCCCCAAAGTGCGTCAGGGCCTTGGAGAACTGTTGGGGGAAGGGAGAGGTGAAGGTGTGGTGGAGAGTCACCCCTGAGCATCAGGGCCCCGGCTATGTGCTTAGCTGGGTTCCAGCTAGAGCAGAGCCCCATCCTTTGGAATGGGGTCAGGACTAGTGAAGGGGAGACCCCCATTATTAGCGGGGTAGGGACAAGGCTGACGGAAAGGGTTGAGGCCGACACCCTGGGGACATGGGGGATCCAAGCTGGCTGCTGGGGCTGCCCAGAGCCACCTCTGGCTCTGTTATGGTGGAGATATGGGATCAGGGGCTACGGACCTTGGCAACTGCCTGGTCAGAGCTCAGAACGACCTCAGAGATCAGTTATTGGGGCTAGTTATTTAACCTCTGTGTCTCGGTTTCCTCATCTGCAAAATGGGGAGAGTAATAGAACCTATGTCATAGTGCTGTTGTTGGGTTAAACAAGTAAAGTGCTAGCTATAATTATATGGGCCAGGCACTGTTCTTTTATTGAGAGCTGCCATCTCTAATTCAACCCAAAGTCCTCTATGAAAGTCCTCACTACTCATTAGGCTCCATGGACCAGTAGCGTGGGCATCTCCTGGGAGCATGTCAGAAATGCTGACTCTCAGGCCCTATGCCAGACCTCCTGCAGGAGGACTCACATTTTAATAACACCCTCAGAGATGGGGTCCCTGTGCATGTTAGTGCACATGGAAGCAGGAAGACAGCAGCTGAGACCAAAACTCTATCAGAGCTGGGAAACCTTGGGCAAGTTACTTAGCCTCTCTGGATCTCAGTGCACATATCTATTGAGAGGGCTAATAACCTTTCAACAAACCCATAGGTAGGTAATGTGACAAATGAAAACAGTTAACGCGGTGCCTGACACCTGATGAATGGACTATGATCTTTGCAGCAGAGTTGCTGTTGCTTTACTTGTAGGAGTGACAAAATGGTTATTCCTCAAAGCACTGTGATTCTGGGTTTGTCCCCTCTGGGCCGTCTGGTAGGAATGGGTGAAGGAGCAGTGTCTACATAAGGCTGGCTTGGAGAGACGTGGGGGCGGGGTTAGGCCAAGGGTGAGACTGCAAGCTTGTGGCACTCTTACCTTGTCCCTGGCCTCATTCAGCTGGTCCTCCAGCTCTGAGAAGCTAAAGCTGGACACTGTAATGAAGTCACTCATGACTGGGACAAACTTGTCATTTGCTTCCCGCACCTGGCGTTTCTGATATTCCAGCTCCTGAAGAGGGAGAGTGAAGTGCTGGTTAGACCGGCGCGAGGATAAAAGTCAGGAATTCTGGGGTTGCTCCCTTGCCCACCCTTCTTGCCAGTCACAGGATATTGAGCCTTCCTTTGGAAGAGGGAACACCCCGAGTGTCCAAATTTTAAGGGTGGCAAAGATCGTGAGCGATATCAACCAGTCCACCCTGCCTCTATCCTTCCCTCACCCACTACTGCCATCTTCCTTTCTCTAGGTCCTTGCTACCCAGAGTGTGGCCTGCGACCAGCAGCAGCAGCAGCAGCACCTGGGAAATCCAGAGAAATACAGACTCTCAGGCCCCACCCCAAATCTGTGGAATCAGAACCTGTATTTGAACAAGAGCTTCAGGTGTTTCGTAGGCGCATTCAAGTGTGGGGTGCATGTCTCTGTCTCCGAGCTGATGCGGCTGCTGCTGGTCCAGGAACCATGCTTTGGGAAGCACTTGAAAGGGCTATAAATTGGTAATCACCATCTGCCCACCCTCCGAACCATAGTGGCAGTGAAAGGTCCCTTCTCATACTTAACTTTGTTCTCTAAGCTCATTCTCTCCTTACCCACCTACCCTCCACACATGCCCAGTGAAGACGGGACAGGTCTTTAGTTCCTGAGTGTGGGAGACCAAGGATTGATGGCATCCCCATAGTGGACCAGCCTAGCCTAGGGCCAGAGATGGTATCATCTGAGAAGTCATCAGAGCAGGAATGGTGGTGACCGGAGACCTGGGTCTCCAGCCAAAAGTGCAGCCCCTGGCTCCTCTATTGGCCCAGGGAGGACGGTAAAGAGACAGAAGGCAGGAACTTCTGAGGACGGCGGTCCCCAATGTCACATTATGGGCTACCTGCCCCTAGCCGGCTTCCAAAGAATGTGGGTCCCCTTTCCCATCTACTTGAATCAAACTGAAGCATGTGGCTGATTTATGGTTCATTCCACTCCACTATCCAATAGACATGTTGGACAGTGACCTGGCTAGTCTCAATGTCCCCTCTTCGAGAGTCTACATTTAAGCCCCAGATAATCCAATCATCCTTTCCTAAGGGCTGACTCTGTGCTAGAGGCTGTACCCACTGGGCCAGTTGTTCTATACCCCAGCTTTGGGCCAGGAATGCATCACACAGGGTCTGCTCTCTGGGGGGCCACCGCACCTTCTGCCTCTGATAGCACCTGCTCAAAGCCAGGCAGGCAGCGATGATGTACTCACCACCTCGACCGCTCTGAGGCCCCTCCTGAGGTTGCCCACTTCCTTGTCCAGCTCTGCCAAGCTGTGGGGGGACACAGAGGGAGGGAGAGTCACTCAGTGGGGTTCAGGGAGAGGGCAGTGCAAAGCCCGATGTCTGGAGGTCAGCAGACCTGTGCTCCAGCCCTACCTTGGCCACTAACATGTGGCAAATCACTTCCCCTCCATGCTCTGTCTGTGCTTCTATGAATCAACAGGGTGACACATTTTCTGTATATCCTTCCAGATCAGAAATGTCAGGCTGCATATTAGAAGGTTTCTTACACATGCCCTCTGGCTTGGATTGATTTATTTTTTACCACCAGGTAATACTTGTAAGCTTTAACATGGTATGTGCACGCAGGAAACATTCGAGGCATATTACCCATTTACCAGTGCATTTCTACTTCTATTGGAGATGCTTCTATCACCCTGTATATGTTCAGGTCTGACTTCTTGCCTGTAGCAGATACTGTTGGTGCCCCACCCATATCTCCTTGGACTTGACTTCCAACTGTGTGAGCGCTTTTTCCTGGGAGCCAGAGCCACCTCTGCCTGGACCCATGGCCAGAGAGTTATGTGCCCTACCCCCACCACCACCACTAGAACCCCTCAGCCAGTGACTGACAGGAGATGGTGTGTGATGCCCCGCCTCTCTCGCCCCTTGGGTGGGATAAGTGGCGAGTGTCCTACACTCTCTCCCACGCTTTCCTGGAGGGATTGAGCTCCAGTTGCCCCCAGTGGTAGCTGGCTGAATTACACTTCTGTTACGGGCATCTTCCCCATCCCTGGCTCACTTCTCCACTCCCTACTGCGCTTCCTGGGAGCATTTCTGAAATAAGGATTCCAGAGCAAATCATCTGACCATTTGGCTCTCCCAGAAGCAGACGCTGAGACACTGCCTATTCCTTGTCAGCCCAATTGAGTAGCCCCGATGTTTAGACAAGAGCATGTGTGAGCACAGCGAAAAGGAAGCCTAGGAGGGTCCCCTCACTTGACTTTGGCGGCTTCTGGGAGATGCTGCAGCTCCGAGGGCATTGTCAGGATGTCAGGGAAGTGCTTCTCCAGGATCATGATCAGGTAGTGCAGCAGGGAGATGTTTCTGTGGATGAAAGCCAGGTCAGGGGTAAGGGAGTGAGGGTCAGAAAGCATCGAGTGGGAGGTGTTAGGGGAAAGAGGTGAGGAGCTAGGTCGGAAATGGAGACCGGGAAAGGGGGAGGAGAGGAGAAGCCAGGGTGGGGCGTGATGGAGGCTAAGGAAGCAGGCCGGGTCCTACCTGTCAATGCTGGACTTGGTGTCAGCGATCTTGTTGAGGCTGGCCACCCGGAAGCCATAGGCGCCCCCACGCTGCCCTTTGTTCATGAAGTTGCCGATGGCCAGGACGACCTCTAGCATCTGCTTTAGACGCTTGCTTCGAATCAGCTCGCGGGAGGCCAGCAGGATGGCTGGGAGAGAAGGGATAGGTCAGCTCCCTGCACAGGCGAGGCCAGGGCAGCTGGTCCCCTGGCACCCCCTAAATGATGCCACCGCCAAGTCCAGAAAAGGGGCTGCAAGTGTCTTCAACTCTCAGAGGGGGCAGAGACTGGGCCCACACCTCCATAGACAGATCTAGTCCATACCCACCCATCTCCAGGGAAGCAGACACACTCACCAAAAGCCCATCCACCAAATAATCCATTCTCAGAATGTGCCAACTCTTCCTAAGAATATATTTGAGAACATCTTTTCTTGTATATATTTAAAATTATTAATATATTCTTTCTATGAATATACACAAGAATATAATACTTTCACTTTTTGAAACTTAGTCATTAAAGTTTAAATTTCAGCATTTTATATATTCTGGAACTGTGTCTACCTCTTTTGAAATGCTTAATTTTATTGACTTTTTTGGAAAGAAAAAAATCCCTGTCAAATTAAATTGTAACATGTCACCAACTGTAATATCCACATATTATTTTTGTTCTATAATAAGATAACAGTGTGCTTTATAGTTGATGGTATCTTTGATTAAATAGGTTACTTGACATCTTGTTGAATATCATTTAGAAAACTTTTCCAACCTTCAGGCATTTTAACCATTTCCCTCCAATGTCTGAAATAATACATTTGCCAGAAATAACAAACTAAGCTGACAGTAGCCAAAACTTCAGTATTTAATTCCAATGTGGATACTTTGGCCCTTCCTCAGCTATAATGTATTCATGGCCGATGTGCAGAATTGGGATACAAATCCTACACTGAAATGTTGGCTACTAGTTATGGAATATGCTTTTTGATTATTAAAAGTGGTGATAAGAAGACCAAACTATTCTATGGCTTATGCCAAATTGTACATTCCCTAAGGTGCTGCTATGAAGATAAAATGAGAACCATCTGACTAAAAGTTTCCAGAAATCTTCAAAAGCAGTTAAAAATAAGTAATTGTAAAAAACAAGCTGTAAAAGTGAGTAGTAAGTAAGGTTTGTCATGAGTTTCTGACATTGAACTTGTGCATCGTCTGTGACCTAACCATGGCATTACCCTTGATGGGTGTTGGAGTGTTTCCTAGGTTTTTTCCTCCTTAAATTACAAGTAGACTGGTTTAATAAATTATGGTATATGCATACAGTAGAACAAAATGCAATGCTGAGAATGACTAAGCCACTGCTATACCTAACAACAGGAGTCACTTACAACCATAATGCTGAGCAAAAGAAACCAGCGCAAAATTATTCACATCACACTTTATCCCATTTACATAAAGTTCAAGACAGACCAAACCTTTAGAGAGGGAGGAGGGAGTGATGGTTGGAGGGGGTAATGTTTGAGAAGGAGACATGAAGAAGGGCTCTGAGGGACTGGAAATGTTTAATTTCTTGACCTGGGTGTTGATTACATAGGTGGGTTCATTTCATAGTAATTTGTCAAGTAGGACTCTTAGGGTTTGTGTACTTTTCTACATGCATATTTTAATAAAAAGTTTACTTTAAAATAAAACTACTTATAAAAGTTTCCAGCAATTTATATTGGTTGGGATAGTTTTTCTAATGTTGATACACTGTTTGAAAAATTTGCAAAGGAATCCTCCTGCGAATGCTAAAATGTTGGCAAAACAGATGACAAGAGTTCAAAGGAAATCAGTGCAAATGGGAAAACTCCCATATGCAATGCAGACATTTTAGATATATTCAGGAGAATAATGTATTCATGAATATATTCATAAGAATATGTTTATATTTGAAACCATATTCATCTTGACTATATTCAGTGAATGTATTCATAATGAGAATCAGCAAATTCAGTATATTCAGCAATGAACATATTCATAAGAATACATTCAAGAATATGATCATGAATATATTCATAGAAGAATCGGTAAATTTCTCAAATTTGGTGAATGGGCTTTTGGCAAATTGACCCAGAAGCCTGGCTGGGGGGTGGGGGATGGGAGTGGAGTGGGTAGGTGGGTGTCAACAGCTCATCAACCAACTGGAACAGGCCAAAGCTTAGCTCTTCCAAAAATATTTCCTGGGGGAACTGGAAGAAATATGAACCCCAACTCCTGCCCAGTCCTCTTGTCTCTACCCCCAGTCAAGCCCACTCGATTCTGTAAGGTACAACTTCAGCCCAACTCTTGGAAGGAAGAGACCTCCAGACCATTCTAGAACAGCAGTTATGCTACAGCACAGCGATGATGACCTTCCCCAGCAGGTCCTGCCATCTAAAACACGTCTGGCTCTGCTGAGCTTGATATGAAAGGGGTACCCTTTCCTGTGCATCCAGGGACTATTAGGGAGAGTTTAGGGGTGAGCTCCTGGAAACAGGGAATTGTCTGAGATTAATCAACCCGGTGGCTAAGCTACTCTGGTTCCACAGCTCTGAGTGGCCATAGCTCACACTTGCCCCACTGACCCAAGATACACAAGTAGTTGAGCACATATGTCTTGGGCTGAACCCTCATCTGTGCCTCCTGCTCCAAAGGCAGTCTGCAGCAGGACGAAGAAAGCTGCATGCAGGGAAACACAGACCCAGCACCAGGGCGGTGGTGCCGCCGGACCATAGGCCTGCAGGGTCGCTGCTGATCTTGTTCCCCGTCCGTCAGGTCACAGACCTTTCTCCCTCTGATCACAGCCAGCCTGCAGTTCCCATTGCGTGTGTGTGTGTCAGGATCCAGATTACGGAAAATGTCTGCCTCTGGCTCTGTCACACCCCACCTATGCCCAGAAATCTCCCTAAACCAACTCACTGAACTCCAGGGAGGGCCATTCTCTGGCCAGAGCATCTCAGGGAGTGCTGACCAGCCCCGGTGTCCAGCAGAGGGGGCCCATGCTCTGCCTGTCCCCAGCCAGTCCCCATGAGCAGCCTGGACACAGGCTCCCTTGTCCCCCTCTGCTGATGACCCTGTCCTCACCACAGATGAACCTCACAGCCTCTCCTGCTTTTCTCTCCTGGGTCTCATGGCTATGCACCATCCTGACCACCTGCCTTCCTCTTCCCCCCCCCACTCCCTCCCCCCGACTCCCTGCTGCTCCGTCCTCTGCCATCCCCTGGGAAGTACTACAGGATGACAGTGAAAGGATGGGCTTTGAAGAATGACATCTGCAATCCAGTCCTGTCTCTACCACCCACCAGTAGGAACACGGCCTCAGGCACCATCTCCCCATTTTAGAGATGAGACAACAGATGCACCTATAGGGCTGCTGTGAGGACCAAATGAGACCAACCACGTGGAATGTTTCACACAGTGCTTGGCACATGGTTCTGATGTCATTGCAAAGTGCTCACCTAGAAAAGGTCTGTGTAGGAGGGAGTTCCCTGACCCAGAAAGTCAGATGCCTCTGGGGATCACCTTACCAATTTCCTACTTTCTGAGTGGCTCACACTTAAAACAACGTGCCCAGAGGTCTTCTATGAGCTTAGTACCTCTCGAGCAGGGTAACGATAGGTGAGCTCAGTCCATGCCAGGCGATGTTCTAGGGGCCTGCTATTACCATCACTTGTTCAGCATTTCTGTCCCATGATGGGGCAGATGTCACCAGACCCCCGACCTTGGAGAGCTGCATGCTGAGGCATGGGGAACGTGTCACATCTTTGGCACATGTGCTAACATAAACAAGTGCCTATATCTAGAATAATCACAGCTTTAAATTTTGGCCTTGGCTGGTATTTTTTGTTTTTTTTTTGGGGGGGGGCAGGGGATTGAGAATAAGGAAGGTGCTGTTCGTGGACTCCCAGCCCATGGCTTCCCCAGGTGCCTCTACCATCCAGGCCTCCTCCCCACCCTCAGCCGTACCTTCTACTTTGGGCTTGGCCTCAGCCAGCCGCTCCTGGAACTTCTTCTTGAAGAAGAGGGCCTGCAGTCGCTGCTGGTAGTGGTCAATCCTGTGGACAGGGCAAGCAATGTCATACGGCAGGCCCCCTCCAGCCCCAGCCCCAGGAGCCAGCTCCAGCGCCCTCCTCAGCCTGCCCTCCCCCAGCCCCTCCTCCCAACCCCGCTGCCCTGACCTGCTCATTTCATAGAGGAAGCGGTCAGCACGGGCCATCCGCTCGATCTCATGCTTGTGCTCCTCCAGGAGGTCAATGTCGCTCTTCTCCGGGATGAACTTGAGGAGCTGCGAAGAGCAGGTGAAGGTCAGACAGGAAACTGGTGGGAAGCTGCTATGGGGATACAGCCCACAGAAGCCCATACACTGACCAGGCTCAAGATGGGGAGGTGTCCCCTTAAATAACAGAGGCATCCTCATGTGGATGGTTTACTTTTCATCTGCTTGATGGGGACACAGGGCACCCTGCTCTAAACTTCTTTAAACTTTTTTTTTCTGACTTTTTAAAATTAAGAAATAACTTACAGTAAAACACATTATTCTTAAGTATACAGTTCAGTAGATTTTTTTTCCTTTTAAACCTTTATCAAGCTGTAATTTACATAAAATAGGGCCGGCTGAGTGGCTCAGTTGGTTAAGAGCTCGCTCAAGAGTTTGAGCTCTGAGCAACAGCGGTTCAAGTCCCGGTCCGAGCTGAGCAGCCGCTGAGCTGTCAACAGGTGGCAGGATGGCTCAGCTTAAAAAAAAAAAAAAACAGTAGAAAATGTTATTTACATAAAATAAAATGCATCCATTTTAAATGTTCAGCTCAATGAGTTTTGACAAAGCTACCCATCCACTGAACCGCCACCCACCTAACATACAGGAGATTTCCATCCCACCAGCACATTCCCTTACACAACTTCAATCTGCCAACCCACCCCTTCCCCCCCATGTAGCCTCACAACTGAACTGTATCGCCTTAGAGTCAGTTTGCCGATTCTTGAGCTTCACATAAATGGACTCATGCTGTACGTTCTCTTTGGTGTCTGGCTTCTTTCACTCTATACAATGTCTGAGATCCATGCATGTTGTAAGTATTGAGAGTTTGTTTTTGTTCATTGCTGAGTAGTATTCTACTGTGGGAATATACCACAGTCTATTTGCTTTCCCATTGATAGACAGTGGGGTTGGTTACAGTTTAGGGGTCTGAGTGTGTGCCTAGGAGAGGGACTGTTGGGCAATAGGGTGGTATGTGCGGCCTTAGAATGCACAGCCAAAGCATTTTCCAAAATGACTGTACCGAATGACAATTCCAGTTGCTTCACATCCTTGCCAACACTTGGTATTGTCGGTCTTTTTAATTTTACCTATGCTGGTGGGTGTGGGGCGCTACCTCACACACCCCTATTCACCATATTTCTCTGATTACTAGTAGTATTGAGCCATTTGGAAAGGATCTCGTTCATGAAGTACATGTTCAAGTGTTTTGCTCATTTTTAAGTGCAGTTGTTTTGTCATTTTCCTCACCGATTTATACAGTTCTTTATTCTGACTATAAGATATTTGCTGGGTATACGTAGGGCAAATCTCTCTCAAAGTTTGTCTTGTCTTTTCTCTCCAATAATAGGGTCTTTTGATGAACAGGGTAGATGGTGGTTTTTGTTTGATATTTTCTAGGTCTCTCTTGAAAGACACAAGTTGAGGTGGAAGTGATTTGAGGAAGGTATGACTATGGGGTCACTCTGACTTTGCCTCAAGACCCATGGGAATCATACCTCATATCTCCTTTCAAGGCCTCAATCCCCTGGAAAAGATGCAGCCTTTTCTGGCCGCCCCTCAGAGAGGTTGGCCCTGGGGAGTGTCTATAAACCTCTCCCTCACTCCTCCAGCCTCCGGCCTAATTTCTCCTTGGCTTAAGAGTCTCGGTCTCTCTGGGGGCTGTCA